ATAAACAGCTCAACAGCATATTTTATATTAATTAAATTATGAAATAAAAAAAAGGTATTTTTAATTTTGTTTTCAAGTTTAGTTTATTATTTTAATAAACATCAATTATTAGTTTGACAGGTATTTTTTTTGTTCAACCATGTAAAATTAACAAAATTTAAAAATTAAAAAAAAGGGTTATGGCGGCGTTTAAAAAACGTCACTATATCCCACCTCAACCGCTAGATTTTAAAAATGTATAAATGACTATAACGGCGTTTTCAAAAACGTCGCTAAATATCATAGTGACGTCATACTACGGTTAGTAGCACATTTGGTGGCGTTTTAAAAAACGCCGCCTATAATAATATAACGACGTTTTTCAAACGTCATAAAGTTATAGCGACGGCCGCGTCATCGGCGTTTGGTACTAAACGTCATAAAAAGAATTAGCGACGTTTTTCGTATTTTTAGCGGCGTTTTTTAAAATATTTTCCAGCAGTGAAATGACTAAACTACTCCCATTTATTTAAAATATTTACAACTTCACTTATGTAACATATTTTGACCCATGAGGGGTAAAATTGTAATTTCACCTTGGCTAAAAACCAACTTCCCAAATGAAAAAAAAAAAACCAAAAAAACCAACTTTTAACTTTTGTTACTAACTAAAAAAAGTGACTAAAAATTATGTTGCCAAAATAAGCCAACCTCTATCTAATAGCATCACAAGAAGTAGGAGAACATTACGGTGACGCTTCGATGACGTCGATATGGCGTCAATGATTCTGGACCTACGACCAAGCAAATCCAAATGCTTCTTTTTTTTTATTCAAGTAGTACTTATTTTTATGGGTTATTGAATTGGTTATAATTTTAAACTGGAGATTAAATTAAGATTCGTTTACAATCAAAATCAAAGTGAGACTAATTTTACACTCGATGGTATTAGTGACCTCAATAAAAGTTATGGGGATAAGATTCGGCCTTTTTATCGCAATTAATAGAAGAAAGAAATAATTACTCTACACTCTTATTTTTCGGATTTTTTTGTTTTTACTGAATTTTTTTAATATTTTATGCAAATTTTTTACTTTTTAGACACACTTAACATAAATACACCTAAAAAGTAAAAAAATTGTAAAAAAAATCTTTTAAAAATTCACCAAATACCAAAAATACAAAAAAAATATAAGAATTTAGTACATTTTATATATTTTTATGTATTTCTTAATTTTTTAAAATATTTTTTCACAACTTTTTTACTTTTTAGACATATCTAAGTAAGGTGCACCTAAAAAAGTAAAAAAAATGTTTAAAATTTTAAAAATATTCACTAAAAACAAAAAAATACGAAAATCAAAAAACTCAATTTTAAAAAAATTTAATTCAAAAAACTCAAACCAAACACAGTGAATAATAAGTACTAAACTAGATTGGTAGTTGAATGCTTTTGTTTGATTATGACCCTAAAAAACTATGGATATGGTGTTATTATTATGCGTGATGCACAACAGTAGTTGTTGTGCGATTTGTAAGAATTGTTTCAGATTTTATTTTGATAATTTGAATTATACAAATTTTAGAGATATCCAAAAGAATATATTTGTAAATAAAATCAAATTAATTAAATATCGATAATCACTTCATCAATATATATATATATATATATCAAATTAAATAAAAATGTAATTTGATAAAAGGATTAGCGATATTCGATTAACGTAATTTTTCTACAAACATAATCTTTTGATATTCTTTAAAATTTGAATAGTTTTAGATTATCAAAATAAAATCAAAACTAATCTCAAATGAAAAATGCCTGAGAGCACTAATTAGTGCTCCCACTAATTAGGTGGCAGTGGGTCCCGTCATTAATGATGTGATGTTTTGGTCTTGGAGTTGTGTTTTTTTTTTTTTTTTAGGCATCGGAGAGGTTTCCGGCACACACCCGCCGGCTAGCTCACGTTTGTGTTTTCAGGTGACAAAGCGACGTCGTACGGAGGAGCGTGGACTTGGTCAACAAAATTATACGAGGAGAATTATTTCCTACCCGTACAAAAAACTAATCTCAAATACAACAATCATCATTGTGCATCAAGCTTAGCAGTGGCTCCAAATCCAAAAAATATGTCACTAGTCGTAGTAATAATAATGATCATGGCAGCAAAGACGGCAAAGGGACATTGGTGGTGCAGTAATAGTAGAGTGGTGTTGGTATTAGTAGTGTTGATAAAAAATCTAATCTCAAAATCATCTTTACCTGCAAAAAAATAAAATTATTTATTTAAGTCAGTTTAATTTCCATTTTTTCATTTATTTTTTTGTAATATCAAACACTAAAAGATATAAAAATATTTTTCTAAAACCATTTTGTATCACATCAAACACAAGAAAATACAAATAATAAAAAATTAAAATAAATAAATAAATATAAAATATATATATAAAAAAAATTTCCATTCAAATAAAGCATGTTAGTTATAACCCCAAATAATATTTGATTACGTCTCAAAATAATGTTAACTTTGTTTTAATCACCCCATAGCTGGTGTATATGGTATGCAACAAATTGTGTTTGTTTTAGCAACATTAATCGATTAAAATTAAATTTATCCAAATAAGTAAAAAATTTAATGATAGTGTTATATATATCAATTAATGTACATATTAATATTATATTATTATTGTTGAACTCACCTATTTTATAAATTATAAATATTTAAAATTTTCAAAATTATATCGTACCATCTATTAATATATTAATTAGTATACTAATTGATTATATAAAAAATAATTTTATTACTTTTATAAAGGGTAGAGACAATAAAGTCAGCAATTTCAACCCCACGTGAATGTCAATCTTGGGAGATTCAGTCCCACCATTTTTTTCACAACTAAACATTCCATAAAATTTCCAGATTACTAATTCAATTCCCAACTTTGAATTATTGGGATTTTTTTATCTTATTATGGGATATAGATTTTTTAAATTTAATTTACAGTAGTTCTTGTGTGTGTCAATTTCTGACTACACTGTCAATTGAGCACTCAATTAGAGAACACTGACAGAATAAATTAAGTTCGAACGACCTGTCACAAAAAGAAGAGATTTCGGCGGTGTTTCGTCTATCCGGGGGCATTTCGACGATCAAGTCAGTTATCTCTCACAGATAGAGAAAGTGTTTAACTCACTATTCAGAATAAAAAGCATACCTTAGACCCATGAGGGTGCCTCTCTTTTATAGCCAACACAAACCTAGTCTCAATAAAAGCCTAACTTCAACGGACTTAGAATTACTGCTAATCTTGGACTCTTAGTAGGATTGAGATAAATTCTCTAAGAGTCTTATCTTTATCCAAACTGAAGTCCTCTCCCATTCTAGGATTCTTGTCCCTTATCCGTTTATCCCGAATTCCAGTTTCTTCGTAGATAACCTCGGCCTAACTAAAATCATCTTGGCGTCATGACCAGAATACGTGGCACCTCGGCTGACACTTCGGTGACACCTCGGCCACGTGTCGTCATTCAAAAATTATGTCCCCACAGTTCTATATCACCTAGGTGAACATGATATATGTAATGATACTATTTGATATAACTTATCTGAGTTGCTTATGATTTTTTATTTTAAGAGTCTATGATAATTGTTTAATATGACTTTTGCTTATAATTAATTAAGTAAAAATAACTTAAATAAATTAATTTTCAAAAACTAACTTAAAAATACTTTTAACTTTTATTTTTAAATTATTAACTTTTAAAATAACCAAACACATAAATATCTTTTTCAGTTCTTCAACTTCAAGCCGAAAGGCGATAACTAAGGTGGAATGTCACCTCAAACGTCAATTATTAGGTGCTAATCTAATGGGTACATATCACTTGTGAAGCATTTTTAGCCTCTCCTACCTTAAACAAATCTCTTTAATTTTGTCTTTTTTCTTTTTTCTTCTTATTTTTAATTAAAAAAATATTAAAAATAGTCCTTATCGCATTGTTTGATTTTAATTTTTGTATTCAAATTATTATTTTTTTAAATATTTTTATTTTTCATATTTTTTTGGTTTTAATATTTTAAATATTTTTTTTTCTTTTTAAATACACCTCACGTAAATATACTTAAAAAGAAAAATATTTTTTAAAAAATATTTTTAAAAATCAGTAAAAAAATATAAAAGTATAATATTTTTGGTATTTAGTATTTTTTTAAAAAAATTCACAAATATTATACTTTTAATTATATTTATATGAGGTGTATTTAAAAACTAAAAAATATGCTTAAAATATTTAAAAAAATTAGTAAAAACAAAAATATATAAAAAAAAATAAAATAAACTCGATTTTCAGAAAAGATGATTCAACCAAACAAGGTGATGTTTTTATTAACGTTAAAAAAGTGTGTAAAAAATATATTAAAATATTTTAAAATATATAAACGTGTATTGAGATTATGAATATTTGTTATTTTATATTTCTTACTGACAATCCTGGGAGCTGTCATTAAGGATATCTCCAACCTTTTTATCAATTTTTTAAGGAGCCGTTATTCTCATTTCAATTTGTTTCAAATATACTATTTTTTTTGTCTTTATTATACATAAAATGGGGTATATTTAGAGTAGAGTAGAGTAAGAATAGTAATTATATATAATAAAGACAAAGAATAGAGTATAATTAGAGCAAAGTAAAGTGAGAATAGCAGTTTCCATTTTTTTTATTATCTAATTTCATTCTAAATTTGAGTAAAAAGCTTTAAAAAAGATCCCCTCATCATTGATGGAGAAAAAAAAAACCACCTCTAATGTTTCATCTTTTTTAAATTTTCATCAAATTTAAATTCGATGAATTTTCAATTTGATGAAAAAATAATTCTCCTTTAATTTGCTAAACAATTGATGAAAGAATTTAATATGATTTTTGGGCCTTTTCTTATTATTAAATTTAACAGGACCCTCTTCAATACTCATCCCATCCACCAAAAAATAAATAAATATATGATATGGAGCTACCAAGAAAATGAAGGCACAACAAAATTCCTCTTAAATCCAAGTATCGACTTATGTATAAACTATAGTAATGCATTATTACATATCACTGACTAGTGTTACATTAAGTCCGTTAGGACATGATTAGATCAGAGCGTAAAAAATGAACTCTTTTGTCCTGATGCACTCCCAAAGCCATAAGATTACGTCTCGATATTCTTGTGATTCATATGATAGTTTTGGATGAGTATGAATTAGGACACAGAAATTTCAACAGAGAATTTCCAATTAAGTTAAAGAGATCCATAGTGTAGTAAAAAAGTGACTCGAGATGTGACGACAGAAAAGGATCCGAATGGAGAATCTGATCTCCATTTTCGCACCTATAACTTCTGTGAATACAACTTCTTGGTTCTTGCATGAAGGATCAAAGCTAGAAAACACCCAAGAAAACAAAGAGATCCCCAAATGATGAATGTGGTTTTATAGCATTCCATGCCCATGCATCTGCCATCACTTCCATTGCTTTTTTGGCGGTAAATTAGAGCTGCCAAGTCACCGAAAATGAACGATCCGATAGGAATGTTGGCAACAATAAGGTTGTGGTTGACACTGAAATTTTTTGCACCAAACAGCTCGGTGGTTGTGGAGATGGAGAGGGAAGTAATTGCACCAGTACAGGCGCCGATAATAGCAGTACTGACGTAGAGAGAGAGGTTGGTCCTACTAAGTAATAAGAAGAAAGCTCCAGACATTGGGGCCATCATAGCTGCTATGGAAGCAGGTGTCGACGCCATGCATTTATTCCTGAAATAAATGAAAACAAAAGCAGAGAAATTTTATTTTCATCGCTAATATCAAATAGAATCTTACATAAAATCATATAAAGAAAAAATAGAAAAATGTTGTACATACACTTTTTTATCAGATTTTTGGTATCATGCGATGTGGGTCTCAACTCAAAAAATTTGTGGTTAGCAATAAGAAAATTTGATAAAAAATCTATATATATATAAGCTAGAAAGATGCAAATAATAAATATCCTTGACAAGGAGAGGAAAGCGGTGCCTAAATTCAACTGCATCTTTAATACATCAACTAACACTCGTTTGATATTTCATGAAAAGGGTGCACTTAAACAAATAAGTGGTCTCATTGTATGTGAGCTTTAGTTGTTTGTGAGAGAACATGGTACACCGTGATGCACCCGTTACATAAAAAAAATTCTCCAACTAACTCACCCATTACCTTGAATAATAGTAGTAATAATATTTTTAATAATAAACTAAAACAAGGTACTTGCATTAAGCACCTCAAAGAAAAGAAAAATGCAGAGAGAAAATATTAGGGACAAAAAATCACCAGCATAACCAGCCACAATTCTATCTCAAGGCACCATGGGACACACGACAATGTGAGAGAGTCGTGGTTGGTTTTGTGGACGGTTTCTGTGTATGTTGTACTAGTGCTGAAATGCAAAACTAAGTGCCCTTCATTCGATGTCAACTACAGAGGAATTACAGTTCAAAAAAAAAAAAAGAAAAGAGGAATTAAGAGAGAGAGCTCACCTTGAGAAAACGTAGGACAGGAAAGACGGGACAAGACGGCCAAAGAAGCCAAATGAAGAAGACAAGGAGACCAGAGAAGACGTCTTGGAGAACCCACGAGATTCAGCTATTTGACCCAGGTTGTTCAAATACACAAGCCCAAGAGTTGCCCCTGAGAGATAAACAAAGAAATATAACCAAAACTCAACCCTCATTAGCATCAACTTCGCTCCTATCTCCTCTACCTCCACACTGACCTCATGTTCAATTACTACATTACCCTCCCCAACTTTCTTCCCATCCTCTACAGTCTCCACCCCATCATCAACCACTACACTAAGATCATGTACTCTTCTCTCTCTTCTTATCGAGCATTTCTTTTGAAGTCTTTCCATAGCGTGTTCAGCTAATGGAACTACGAGAGGGGCAGCAAGAAACACCCCCATACCTATCACAACCACCAACGACGACAACATGCTTGATATTACGCTGAAACTAGTCGCCACAGCATATGTTCCGGTTGCCATTGTTATGACAAACATCACAACAAACCCAACTTCAATTTTCCTCGACTTCCCACCATTGATATCTCTAACTATTGGTGCACCAACAACACAAAACACTAGAGGTAAGATTGAGTTCAACAAGAGATATGCTTTGGCTCTATCACTAGGGGAAGAGGGAAACAAAGCATCAACTATATCTGTATAAATTTTTGCACTTAACCCTAGATAGCTAGTTGATAACCCCACGGCGACTTGACGGTCCAAAGGGAAGTTACGAATGGTGATAATATAGCAAACTGTGTTGATCCAACAAATGCTGTTTCCAGCCAAAGCGGTTAGTAAGAGAACATGCCAATAAGACAAAGATGAGATATGGTTTGTTAGGAAGAGATATTGTATGCCATAACCGATCAGCCCAAGAAGCGAACCGATCATGAGGACTAGCCAGAGGGGGAGGTAATTTGCGGCCATACCGGAAATCCAACCGAAGAGCTTTCCGGCATCAGAGGCAAAGGCAAGGTTGTTCAACTGGAGTTGGGACAGAGAGAGGAGGCGCTTGAGTTGAGATGAGTAGGCAGGAAAGTTAGAGTTTGTTCCATTAATGGATTGAAGCCATATAGCACCCACCAAGCTTAGCCATTGAAGAGCCATTAGAAGTATGCTAAACGGTTTGGACTAGTAAATAAATTTGGAATGAACCTGCTTTATAAAGCAGGGTTGTGTATCTGACTGTGGGGTCAAGAAAGAAGGGAAGGGAATGTGAAAAGAAAGGTTAAGAGTCAAATATCTTATGTTGTTTGATGATGGCATATTGTGGTGCTTAGCATAAAATGTGGTCTACTAATGGCCACCACCTTTCCCATTAATGATTTTAATTTTAATTATTATTTTTTATTTTGTGAGTGTGTGTACGAGTAAGAGAACACTAATTCTATATTTGTAAAGCAGTAAAAGAATAATTTTTTCAGAAAAGCGTAACATTAAAAGAAAATGATCTGTAAACAGAAATACAAGACAGCAGAATGATGTAAATCATTGTGGTTCTCTTGTTTCTATCTAAAATACCCATTACTTAGGCTTTAAATTTTTAAAATGTCATTGACACAGCCTGTATAGAATTTATGTATGAAAAATTTGTTTGTTTACCATTACCCTAAGGTTAATATGCTCTGTGAGGCACAGGATTTCTTGTTACTCTTCTTTGTGCTTTATTTATTTTTATTTTTATTTTTTTGTGTGTGTGTCTGAGAGAGAGAAAATCCCAGCAAATGCAATTTTCTTCTTGCATCTTTTTTATTCTTTATTAAAATAGACGAGTATTTAGTTGCTTTCAACTACTATCGTCATGCATGATTAATATAATAGCTATGCTGGACTATTTTGAGCCATACCCAGATGGGGTCCAGTTCAAAATGAGATCAACAAAACAGAAGTACTACATCATCAGTAGGTAATTGTGGATTTCTCCAGAACAAAAGCTCCTGTAGATAACAAGTACCTTGTTAACTTTGTGTCATCAACAACAGCTTAATTTCAAAACCCAACGTAAGATGTATACGAGTTCATTTTTGTCAATAGAAGTGGGCTCAAGATTCCACTTGAGTGAAATCCGCCTTCTAGGGAAGGAAGAAAAATAGGACCTCGAACTTCACTTTGGCCAAGTTGGCCGACCATGATTGATCAGGACCATTAATAATGTGATAATCCTAGACCACCAAAAAACTTCTCGATGTATACAACTTAATATGTTGAATGTAATCATTGTCACCTTTATTTTATGAGTGAAGCCATCTTATTTCAATCAAATAAGAGTCTTTCAATTTTTAAGGGAATAAGTTTAGGGATCTACTTACATGAGAAAAATTACGTGCATAGAAAAATACAAATAAAAGTACAAAAAAAAATTGAAGTGTGGCTCAAAATAATTAAGTGTGCTACCCACCAAACTCATGACGAATCTGGATCACATATTGATTTGTTTGTGACTTTTTGATAATTTTTTATACGTGCACGTTGCATTGTTGTTGATGAGCCTCACGCTAACTGGTGGGACCCACCAATTCGCTTGTGAATGATTCAGTAATAGGCATATGTTTGCAAGTGTCCTAGCATTGTTTTCGTGAAGGAAAAAAAAAAAAAAAGTGGCTGCCTACTGCATGCATAAGATCAACTGACATTTTGCCTAACAAAAATACATAAAAAGTACGTTTTGTATTTTGCCTAACTAGTTTGCCTAGTGTGTACTCCAACAACACTCCACTGCTTAAATTGGTTTGTCTAGCCTCCTAGGCTGTCCAGATGTAGCTAGCCAAGAAAGGATAAGAAAAAATGCCTACTGTGATGCCTACCCTGTTGGAACTCCATCTTGTGACGAGGCGAGGCAAAATGCTTGAAATGCTCCAATTGTCTCTCCTGTTTGAAATACTCTAACCATGGATTCATGTTTAAAAATATTTCATCAACGAATAACAATTCCCTAATTTTCGCGTCCGTAATAAAACCATTCGATTCTCTTGCAGCCTATTGGATTTAGTTCTGTATCATTTGTGGACAGCATTTGTGCTATAATCAATTCTCAGTTAAATAAATACCTCTTTGTTAGTGGTGGACTCTTTCTCACCTCAAAGTTTGTCCACATGCAATGCAGCATAAAGGCATTTTCCCAACGCAAAAAGAAATCCACAGAGGTCAATGTCACCCTTCATTCCAAGCTTGAAAGAGTTCGCGCATAAATAGGTACAAGGCTCTAGCACTCCACACGAAACTCGCTGTTGGGTTACCCTACACAAATAAATGCAGATTGCATCAGTAATATAATCACAACATTATAATTGAAGAGAGACTGCTTAACGCAACATTTGGTTGGGAGATTTTGGAAAGAATTTGGAAATAGAAAGGGAAAAGATAAGTAAAATGTGAATAAAATATACAACAATGATTCATCCCCCTTTTCCTCCCACCCCCTTTGACCCCTTCTCTCTCTCATTGGTTACATTTTCTTTTTCTTTTTCTTTTTTTTCCTACTCGTCCAATCACCACCCGCCACGTGGCAAAGGGGGGGTGAGGGGGTGACCCCCAAAAGGGGGTCCCAAGCATTATTCTAAAATATACCTATATTTCACTTAATTTCATACACATTTTCCCTTTCTCTTTTCAAATCTTTTTCCAAATCTCTCAACCAAACACAATATGGATTCAACTAAGGAAAGAAATAGCAATAATCTTATTGCCAAAATATTTGGGTATAAATTTTAGATTTTTAGATATTATGTGTCACCAATGCATTGCAACAATACATGAAATGTGGGGTTCATTAAATTAACATGCCACCAAAGTCCATTAAATTCCTGTAATTCTATTTATTATGTCTCTCATTATGAACAAGTGGCACCACCATGGTAACCTCTCATTTTTTGGCCTGCTCGTAAGTCAGGGTTTGAACTGTGTGCCCCTTTCTCCTCCACCACTAGTTAGATATTATGATTGATGTTCTTGTAAGAACGCATTTTAGATCAAATTTATAAATTAGGTCATGATGATGTAATTTACACACGTGCGTGCGCGCACACACAAAAAAATAATAAAATTACATAAAATTAAAAAAAAAAAAACTAAAACTTTACGTGTTTTTTTTTAAAAACTAATCAACCCCCCATGGTTCTAAAGCTAGGAAGAAAGAATAGGGGCAGCAAAACCAATACATAAAAGAATGGGAAAAATTGGATAATACATGGTGTAATGCATTCTTTATTTCAGTAGTTGATTCAGAAGATGTTATATTGTGAATGAATAATACTCATTTTGGAGGGTTTACATAATATAATCAAATAAATTCTCTCTTCAAACTTTAAAAAATAAAAAATCTGTCAATCTTATTTCCCAAGAATTTCAGCTCATAATATTATTCTTTGGTTAGCTCATATGGTGGTGACTGCAGTGCAAGTGGGAGATAGCGATAGGGGATAGCTTTCATTAACTCATTCTTGAATTCTGTCTCATGCAGATGCTATCTTGTGGTTATGCATGCAGCAAAGTGCAACTTGAAGAATTACAGTAAATATCAATGAACTCTATTTCCTGCTTAATATTTGTTGGATAATGCATATGCATAATTCCATTTGTGGTAGCAGAATTCTAAACAAATTAGAAACTGTGAATGCATGCATGTTTGTGGAACTAAACTGTGCATACATAAAAACTTGATGAAATACATAGATTGGCATATATAACATAACTAACAATATGAAAAACTCATTAAAAAACTCTGATAATTGATCTTGTAATGCCATCTTGCAAATAAAGTGGGTGGAGTGGAGTAAATGAGGCCATTATGCTGCAGAGATATGTCACGTTTTCTGACACAGGGCATCTGCCCTGAGTTGCTTATGCATTCTAATGGATTTTCAAACTAAACTCATTTGGTTCTAGTAATCAGATTTTGTAATATTTTAGTTTCATTTATGATACAATCACAAAAAATTATTGTGACTTAGAGATGCATAATCTATGAGGAAAGGTGGCCACTTAAAGCTGGGGTAGTTTCTTATCATTGGAAATACTACACCGAACAGTAAATAATAAAGGTGACAGGCACAAACTGGGATAAAGTCTGGACCATTGCACCGTTTGAATTCTACGCTCCATTTGTTTAGGCAAAAAACGTTTTACAAGAAAAAAAAATTGCAAATTTTTTTCTGTACAAAACATTTTCCTATGGTTGCGACTTTCAAACTAATTTCCAGAGTTATATTAGTGGTAGGATTAGTGGTTGTGGCGGTGGTAATGTAGTAGTATTGGCAAGATTTTAGTCTGAAAAATATTTTCCACATTTCAAAAGTGTATAATATTTTTACACCCAAATAAACTTGGGTTGTGTTTGGAAAGATTTTGAAACTTTAGTTCTACTCTTTGATTTGCCTATGGTGTTTGTTTGCAGCTTTTAAAAATTAATTCCACACTCACTTTTGAAAACTCAGTCGAAGGCGGAAAAATTTGGACTAACTGGTCGTCCCACCGGTCGTTCGGCCGGTTGACCGGAGCAGTGTAATTTTTTTTTTCTTTGGCAATTGACACATGTTAATTTTTATATATTTAACAAAAAATATTTTCCAAACTTTTTAAATTTTTTTATAAGCTTTAATAGAATTTTGAATTGTGTGTTTGGTTATGGGTTTTAAGTTTATCATATGTCACATCAAAAATTTCTCACTCAATACAAAACTCTTTTCAAAACTCATTCACCAAACAAATTTTTCACGCTCAAATCATAATTTCAAAACCCACAAATTCAAAATACAACTCCTATTCTCAAATTATATTTAGAAAGTTTTACCAAAAGCTACCTTATTTTCTCCGTCAACTTTTATTTTTTTTTGAACCCAATGCCAGAAAATACGAAAAAAAAATGTTTTCCCTTGAAACAAATGCAGCACTAAAATAAAAAATAATCCGCCTTAGAATTGATGCTCAGCAAACTATCAAAAGCTCAAGGTTGGACCTTATCTCATGACAAAATGAAACACACACACAAACACCAATTAGATGCAATTGAGCAGGTTTTGAAGAACAATGCAATGTCAAATTCTCTATAACCCAATAACCATCTTTTGCAAACCTTTTCAAATGCAGCAACTAAATTAAAAAAGTACAAAAATGTGGGTATCAGTATTTTTTTTTCTTTTTTTTTTTTTTTCCGTTGATTTTGTCTGGATACTTTCTGGACTGTCCACAAAG